CAGGCAGCGAACCGCAGCGTGCAGAGCACGTCGGCGCTTCCCACAGGAGCGCGCTGGAAACAACATTTTAATGTCTGGGGATCCAGCAAGACCCGCTTTTTCCAGCGGCCGGCGTGTGGCGTGCAGCCGTTCGCAGGCCGAGAGGTTGACACCAACACCGAGATCGGCGGTGTGCCTCCACCGGGTGAAGAAGATCCCGATCTCGGTGATGGTGGTAATATTCTGGCTTCCAAGGTGACCGAAATATTGCCACCAACACCGAAATCTAGGATCATCTCCCCCTGGTGGAGGCAACACCCTGTGTTGGTGTTGGTGCCCATTTCCAAGCCTCCGAGTATATCGGCCTCTGTCCTCCCCTGAGCCGCTGGGCTCCTCAAAACATCGGTGCCCAGACCCCTCCCGGAGTCCGCCCTGGCCTTATGTCGGGCATGTCCCCCTACAGGGGGATTTTCGACGGAAAAAAAAATCCCAAAAAATAATCAAAAATAGTCCAAAAATAGTCCGAGGACTATTTTTTTAGTACTTTTTTACTTTCTTGGAGTATTTCGGGGATATTTTGTTTTTTTCGTCGAAAATCCCCCTGTAGGGGGACAGGCCCGACCTATCCCTGGCCAGATTTCTCGCGGAGGATCCAGGCGTGGCGACGAGAGGCCTCCAAGAGGCCCACTAACCGGCGACAACCGGCCGGCACCTGTTCCGCCTCCGTCCGCTCCTCCGCCGCGAGCAGCTTCTGCTGCAGCGGCCTGCTCTGCTCCAGGGAGGCGCTCTCGGGCTCCTCTTTGGCGGGACACTGCGGAATGCAGGCCCAGCCCGGTTATGGTTGCCGTCGGCAGTGCAACAAGAGGAGGAGGAGGAGGAGGAGGAGGAGGAGGAGGAGGAGGAGGAGGAGGAGGAGGAGGATTTTTTGGTCGCCTTGGACCTCACCTCCTCCCCTCTCAGTCCTTCGCACGAGCCTCCTTGGCCGCTACACGGGCACGGAGGGCATCCAGGCTTGAAAGGGGCGACGCACACGCTGGCGTCTGCTGGGGTCGGGACGCTACGACATGTGCTCGCGCCTCGACCCTCGTGAGCGGAGCCTCGAGCTCCGCGCAAGAAACAGTTCGGGTGCAGGCCTCTCCTGAGCCTTCGAAGCGCAGTAGTGCCTGCACTGCTCCTGTCGCTGTCTCTTAGGGGCCTGAGACAACGTGACAAGAGCATGTGCAGGCGGTGCTGGGCGTAGTAACCACAGCTCATGCAGAAAAACAACGGACTTGGCTCGTCCCCAACTTGCGTGCTTGCCAGAACGTGTCCATGTTCTGGCGAGATGGTCAGTAGCTCTTCGACCATCTTAGGAAAGCCCTCGCAGCCCACTGTCGGTATGTCTTCCAGGGCGCCTGCATAAAAACTGAGGCAACTCGAGCACCGATGGCCCCACAGCCAGGTGTCCCAAGTGCGCCAACCCTCGGCACGCTTAAACACTTTCTGCTTCTTGGCCCGTCGAGGAGGCCGAGTGTGAGTGACCCTGGGATAGAGCGGCAGAACCTCCGCCAAAATCCGCGCCACCGTTTCGACTCTCTCGATCGAGCTCTTCACATCGTCCCACTCGCTTTGGCTGGCTTGTGGGTGCAAAAAAATCGATTGCTTGGCTTCGTGATCCGCGCGCCTGTTGGCACGACCTATGGACCGCTGAGGCTCTTCTAGCATATCTATCGTGGCTGAGTCCCTGTGTGCTGGGGTCCAGACGGCTGGGGCATACGCATCTCGTTCCATGTGCTGCAGAGCTCCGCGCCTGAGTCCAGCATACTTGTGTTTATGACTCAACTGAGAAACCGTGCTGGCAGTGTGAAGCTTGACGGCATTCATACAATCACTGTAGCAGGCTTGCCCATACTTGGGCACGAAAATCGGGAGCAAGGTCAGCTGAAGTTGCTCTGCTGCCTGGCTCGTCTGAGGAAGGTTCGGCCAAACGGGACATTTTGCAATTGCTACCTGCTCTCCGTCCCTTCCCATGAACACCCATGAAAACGCTGCTCGTGATAGATCTCGAATCTGGTGCGGGAAACACGACCCGCCCCCCGCCACATTCAAATCAGTAGTGTCGAAGTCCGCCCAGTCCATTCGCTGACCCTCGGCGCTATACAAGTAAGGCTCGTGCTGGTCGGACAAAGGCGGCATATCTTTGACAGGGTTGACAAACTTTAGACCAGCGTAGAAGTTGTGCCCCCCTTCCCTCGCCCTCTGAATGAAGCTGTCCTTCACCCCCGTACTAGTCCTAGCCGCCGAAACCTCGGGGCTGGCACAACAGTAAATCCTATGGGCAACAGAATCTGGCCCCCCGCACAGCGGGCAGCAACCTGTCGAATGATAACCAGCCTGCCGCGCCCGATCCTCGGTCCAGAGTCCGTCGCAAAAGACCGTTTTGACCAAGTACTTGCCTTGGGCATTCAGTCCTATTCCTCGGAGTCTAGGCTGAGTGATACGTCGCAGCGGCTCGGCGCAGACACGATCTCCTACAGGCCATCCGAGCTTCTGTCCCAGGACCCTCTCGTGGTGGCGTTACACCCCTTCTTTCAAGAGCGCGGAGATCATGGCAGGGGAGTTGTAAAGCAGACTCAACTCGATTCCCCTATCGTCGACCCACATCAATAACGAAGTCGATTTCCACCCGATGCGAAAAAGCGACAACAACATCCGACTGATAGGACCCCTCGTCTCCCCCCATTTCCACCCCTCAATTCCTTCCTGGGAGATGGAGTCCCACATGCTGCGAAGCTGGGGCAGCGTGAAACTGGCCGTGCACGGCGCCGTCGTGGCGCTCCACACAGCGGCTGCCCAAGCGAGCGCAGGAGCGACCATGCTCCTCCACATCGGATCGCCTAACAGAGCAGTCTTGGCAGCGAGTGAAACCCCTCCATGACACGGCGCCTGATAGGAAAGCATCACCCCTCGCGCGCGCTTAAGTTCAGCGTCAGACATTCCAGTCACCGCATCTCCAAAACTGACCGCGGGCTTGACGCCTGCGGTGTAAATCTTACCGATTCTGTATTTGTCCCTCGGCAGAGCTTTCCTATACCGCCGGAGCCTTCGGCGTCTGCGAATCATGCCCGCAACTCGGGCCTTGCGTTTCCCAAGAGCATGTTTGGTGCTGCGTTTCACCCCAGGAGCTAAATCGACCCCGAGCGAGACCACGTGGGCCCCGACCGTCCCAGCCAGCGTTCCGAGCCTGCGTCCGACTCGCAGCGACAAGTCGGGGGTGGAGCCGAAGGTCATGAGTTTGTCGGGGGCCAAACCAACACCTAAATCTTCCTTAAAAACCCGTTCCAGGTCCTCAGCTGCCTGGCCGAGAACTTGGACCACATGGTCCGCCGAGCCGCACGCGCTGACGGTGTCGTCGTCGACGTACGAAGCAAGGTCAACAGCAGGATTCCTGGCAACGAAACCGTCGAACGGGACCATAGCATAAACTTTAACGTTGATATCATTCAGGCAGGATCCTGCTGGCAACCCACACTTCGCGCACATCGGAGAAAGGCTGTGGTCCGAGCCAAGACGCAAAACCCGAGGCCCGCGCCAAAAATTGCGGGTCACCTTGACCACGATGGGGCTAAGGCCCGCCTGCAGGGAGCGATCCCTAAGCGTGGTGAGCCTGAACGATTCATAATACTTGGTGCCATCCCAAGAAAAAACTCCCGTGACACCCCCTTCGGCCACTTGGGCCTCCGCTTTGACCGCCTGCTTCCACATTTCAGCCTCCGCCGACTTCCCCGCCCCAAAAGCCCAATACTTGCGCGGGTGCGCGTCGCAGTACGGGAGCAGCTGCGGTCGCCTGAGCTTTTCCCACAGGCGAACAGGAGAGGCACAGAGCAGGACAGGACGCCAACCCCCTTTTGGTTTCTCGAGGAGGGGGAAAAGCATCCAATACAGGGCCTTCGGGTAGACCCCGATCTTTTCAACAGTTTGAAACAGGCAACTGAGCACTTCGAGCCCCGCGTCGGGGAGCAAGCTGAAGTGCCGCACATGCATACCGTCAAGAGACTGCGCAGTGTGCGGTGAGAACCCTCTACTGGCAGCCCGAACGTCATCAGGCGTGAGCCTGTCGAAACATTTCGCCCAAAACCTCCAGAGGTTCTGGCATGGACGTCGCTTCCCAGAATTTACCTAACACGTTGGCTTCATTCGCGAGCAGCTTACGCGGGCCGGCCGAAAAAATCCCAGGAGCCGTTTCAACCACGGTCGGCATCCAAGCGCTTTTGTTCCGGGTGAGTTTATGCATCTTGCGGGCTGATCCCGAGAGGGCTTCCGACTGCCACTGGTCCCAGCCCACCTTAGCTTTATTGTCGAGGCCAGCGCGAGCTTCGGCAAAATCCTCCTCCCAATCATCGAGCGCTTCGGTACGTCGATCTATCCACCCAGACAGATTTGCCGCTCGCTGAGGCCAAGACTCCGCCAGACGGCGGGCCGCTTGCACAGTAGTGTCGAGCCGCACAGCTCGGCCTTCAGCTTCAAAAGGCTGCTGAACTATCTGCACCAAGTTCCTGCAAGCCTCGAGCTCAGCGTGGTCGACGAGGTCGGCCTCATAAATACGAATACTGGTCTGTTGAAGGTCTCGCATGGTCTGCTGAAGCCAAATCCACCCTTCCCAGACTAAAACCTCCTCCTCGACCTTCCTCTTCGGGGGGGAGACAATCGAAACCCACTTAGCACACAAAGGCTTGCCCCTGCCCCCTCTGGACTTCAAAGTCACCCCGACCAGATTTTCGAGCTCAACTTCCATAACATCCGAAAATCGCTTCCAGGCCTCATTCAGCAGAGTCCACGCAAGAGTGACAGAAACACTGCTGGCAGACGTGTTGGCCTCCTCGGCCAAGATCCTGGCTGAACTCCAATCCTGGGGCTTTGGTGACGGACCAAAAGGGACCTCACAGGGAATACGTTGGTGGGTCTGATAAACAAGCTGTTTCAGTTTTATCGCACCTTGCTTAAAGATAAGCTGCTCTGGCCGATGAGGTCGCTTGGGCCAGTTCTTCACAACATCGGCCTTGTCGACCATCTTGGCTACCGCTGAGGACACAACGAAGAAATCGATCCGAGAGTGGGACTTCGCCGTCACACAGGTTTCGATCTTCGGCTGGAGGATCAACATATCGGCTTTCCTCAGTAACCCCGTAAACTCGATTATCGTCGGCCCCAGGTTCCAATCAGCCCCGAAGATGGCCATGTGGGCCCCCTGGAGCGTTTCCCCGATCAGTTTGAGCAACTCGAGGTTTCGCTTCGACAGCCCCTCGGTGGTGCACAAATAAGCACAGCCAGCCAAAATCGGCGGCCACCCTGGTATGTCTAACATCGCAAACAGCAGACGGTGTTCGACGAGTACTCCTCGCGGTAGGTGTGGCGGCCAACGAAGTCCGATACTCGTCCTGGCAAAAATCGTTACTCCAGCCGACGTCTGCCCCGCATCGCAAGGTACCGAAGGTGTGCAGAGCATATGCCATCCTATACCAAGAGCTTTTGCAGTCTTGTCACCCACATCTTCGGCCGTGATCCCGATCTCCTGGGCGAGCAGAACCAAGGCTGAGCTCCGAGCAAGACGTTCCGAGAGCGTGCCCCAGCTGTTACCGTTATAGGACTCGCACACAAACTGGAAATTATCTGCCGTGGGGTCGTCGGCAATCGAAGTGGGCGGACAGCCTGACCCCATGGCCGAAATCTTGAAACCCGTGCACAGCGGCTGGCCTGCAAACGGGGACAGACTAGAATGCTTAACGTGATCTCGGTCCCTCCACTGATACGAGCATCTGAGTTCGCCACTCGAAACGCCCGAGGGGAGGATCCGCTCCTGGTGTGACAAGGTGCCGTCGGCGAGCTCCGCTCGCCGAAGGCTGCTGCTGTCGTGCCGCTGCACTCCCGAAGAAGCGCTCAGAACACGACGTCCATGTAGTACATCATGATGTGCGCCGTCAAAGATGCCCTGGAGCTGGTGGCGCCGCCGGCGGTACTGTACCCGTTGAAGGCGCAGCTCCTGGCGATGACACCCGAACCTTCTTGAACTTGGCGGCCACCAGCGCTTGCACGATAACCCGTTTATCACCTCGGTGCTGCTCCCAGAACTATTGTCAGCTCTGGTCGCTGTGACAATTCGAAATGCAGTCGTGGTCGCATTTGAGGCATCACCAGCAACGATCATCACCGTGCAGCTTCTTCCTCTGTACGCGCTCCTGCTTTCGTCCTGCTAGGGGGTGTGGGGGAGGAGGAATGGGTGAGGAGATGAGGGACAGGGAGGAAGGGAGGTAGGAGGTGAGGAGAGAGAGTGTGAGAAGGAAGGAGGAGGATAGGAGAGTGAAAGGAGGAGAGGTGAGGATAAAGGAGGAGGATGGGGGGGGAGTGAGGGGGGGGAGGAGGAGCAGGAGGAGGAGGAGGAGGAGGAAGAGGAGGAGGATTGGATGAAAACGTGCAGCACTGCAGTCTACTACAATGAGGCTATGTTGAACAGATCGCCGAAGACGTGAGCGTTCACAATACGCCCTGCATGGTCATCAACCCCATACATATGTACCGCCTGCAAGAGGAGGAGGAGAAGGAGGAGCAGCAGCAGCAGCAGCAGGAGGAGGAGGAGAAGGAGACGACCGTGTAGAAAAAAAAAAAACAAGGAAGTGCGAGGAAGGAAGGTGGAGAAGATGAGGGTCCGCCCGCGGGGCTCTGGAGCGCGTGTGCGGGCTGGCGAACCGCAGGGTCCGCAGCGTCCTCGCCGGTCTAGCCGAAAGCGCCGTGCGCCGAAAATAGTGCCGCTGCCGGAAATGCCGCTGCTCTCATCAGCGGGAGCTGACAGCAGTAAGCACAGGAGGAGAGGGGAGGAGGAGGAGGAGGACCCCTCGGGAGGTGAGTGAGGAGGAGAAATCAAGGAGGAGAGAGGAGACGGAAGAGGAGGAGGAGGAGGAGGCGGAGGAGGACGAATCTCTCAGAACCTCCCACTCCGCTGATTTCGGCACTCTGGCGGTTTTGCGGTTGCTCCTTCCACCATTTGCCGCATGAGCGCCACAACTCCAATGCTAACGTCAGCTCATCGTGAGAAAGGACGAGGAGGAGGAAGAGCAAGAGGAGGAGGAGGAGGAAGAGGAGGAGGAGTAGGAGGAGGAGGAGGAAGAGGGACGAGGAGGAGGAGGAAGATGAGGAGGAGGGCAACGACGAGGAGGAGGAGGAGGAGGAGGAGGAGGAAGAGGAGGAGGAGGACGACGAGGGAAGAGGACTCGCCACAGGCCGCCCTGGCAAGGGCCTGGCGGCCTGGGCGGCCGTGGCCGCACGGCAGCAGCCGCCGAAATCTCCACGTGCAGGCAGCCCCCCGCAGCGGACGGGCGGGAGCTGTCCGGCGCACAGCGCACCACGGCCCGCACCTCGGCCATGCTACTGAAGGGGCCGTGGAACACACAAATAAATTCACACATAAACAAGAATTCCCCATATTTTCCTATATTTTCGGGGTTCTGTCTTCCCCACCACCTCCCATATTTTCCCATACTTCCTGGGGAAAAGACGATTAATTGTGTCTGTGTTTTTTCCCTCCTGAGCTACACGCCCTCAGCACAGCCTCACGTGCCGCTGCGCTCTCGCGCAGGGTTGTGGAGCATCGAGCACAGCTGGAAGCGGGGGAGGGGCACCCGCAACCTTCACCGCGCCACCGCCACCCGAAGGCAGAAACCTCCCCCGCGCACGGTGGAAGCCCCCCAGGCGGCCCCCACCTCCGCGATCTGGGCACTCTGGCTCCTGCTCGGCAGGGGAGGGTACCCGTCGCGGAGAGAGATGGGGCACCTCTCGCGGGATTTCCGACGTGCGGGGGGAGAGGCATTTACGCCTTCCCACTCGGCGTAAGTGGCCGGCCACTAGGGCGAGCGTGGCTAATTACCCGCCGCCGCGGCGCCTGTCAGCCATCACTTCCCTCCGCCAACAGCTGCCTCTGCCGCCAGCACCCCTCGTGCTAGCCATGCCTCACGCCCACCCTGCCTCTACCGCACGCAGCAGACCACCACCTTGCTCGCGAGTTTCGGCAGCACCACCCCGTTTCTATCCGTCACCGTGCTCCCGACCTCTCCCTTCCACCTCTGCTGAGAAAGGCACCTCGGGAGAGAGGGGGGCCCTGGGCGCTCTCCAGGGCGCCGGCCCGAGGCGGCCAGTCGACCCGAAGGAGAGAGGACCCAGCACAGCCACAGAAGAATCCTCGGCCCCGAGGGACCGTGTCCAACTTGTTGCGCCACTCTCACAGCGGCCGCCACCCACCAGCCACCCCTGTCCATCTCTCCCTCTAGAGGTCATGATCCTTCGTCTTCGCTTCTCCCCCTCCCTGCCTGTCTGTCCGTCTGTCCCTTTTTCTCTCTCTCTCTCTCTGTCTGTCTGTCTCTGTCTCTGTCTCTGTCTCTGTATCTGCCTTTGTCTCTAGTCTATGTCTGTCTGTCTGTCTGTCTGCCTGCCTGCCTGCCTGTCTGTCTGTCTGTCTGTCTGTCTGTCTGTCTGTCTGTCTGTCTGTCTGTCTGTCTGTCTGTCTGTCTGTCCCTCTGTCTGTCTTTCTGTCTATCTGTCTGTCTGTCTGCCAGCCTGCCTGCCTGCCTGCCTACCTGCCTGCCTGCCTGCCTGCCTGCCTGCCTGTCTGTCTGCCTCTGTCTGTCTCTCTCTGTCTGTCTGTCTCTGTCTCTGTCTCTGTCTCTGTCTCGGTCTCTGTCTCTGTCTCGGTCTCTGTCTCTGTCTCTGTCTCTGTCTCTGTCTGTCTGTCTGTCTGTCTGTCTGTTCTGTCTCTGATTTACTGGAACGTCTACACGTCTACACACACGCGTCTCCAGTGGACCAGAGGTGCTCCAGAGGTGCTCCTCTCTCCTCCTCCTCCTCCTCCTCCTCCTCCGCCTCCTCCTCCTCCTTCCTCCTCCTCCTCCTCCTCCTCCTCCTCCTCCTCCTCCTCCTCCTCCTCCTCCTCCTCCTCCTCCTCCTCCTCCTCCTCCTCCCCGCTTCCTGGGGAGGGGGGTGCTCCCATGGCACGCCTGGGGCGTGGGCCTCCCAGGGGCCTCCGGGGCGCTCTCCCGTTGCTCCGGTGCCCCAGAGGTCACCTGGCCTTCGTTTGATCAGCACCCCTCGGGGACGACCGGCCCTGCGGGGAGGGGGCTGCGATCGTGGATCTCTTCAGCCGACAGGAACCAGGAACAGGGAGGAGGAGGACTGGGAGCAGGAGGAGGAGGAGGAGGAGGAGGAGATAGGAAAAAGGAGGAGGAGGAAGTGGAGAGGACGAACGACGACGAGGAGGAGAGGAGGAGGAGGAGGAGGTGGATGCGTGGGGAGGGGGAGGAGGAGGCGTCGGAGGAGGGAGGAGGAGGAGGAGGAGGAGGAGGAGAAGAAAGAGGAGGCCGGAGAGCAGAGGGAAGAGGAGGAGAGGAGGAGGAGGGAGGAGGAGATGGGAGGAGAAGAGAGAAGGAAGAGGAGTGAGGAGGAGGAGGAGGGAGGAGGAGGAGGGGGAGGAGGCAGGAGAAGGAAGAGGGAGGAGGGGAGGAGGAAAAGAGGAGCAGGAGAGGAGGGGCAAGGAGGAGGAAAAGAAGGAAGAGGAAGAAGGATGAGGGTGAGGAGGAGAGGAGGAAGGAGGAGAGGAGGAGGAGAAGAGGAAGGTGGAGAAGGAGGAGGAGCAGGAGGCGAAGAAGAGGAAGAGAGGAAGAGGAGGAAGAGGGGAAGAGGAGGAGGAGCACACAGGAGAGGGAAGAGGAGGAGGACCAGAGGGAGGAGAACGGAGGAGGAGTAGGAGGAGGAGGAGGAGGAGGGTAAGGCATGAGAGAGGAAGGAGGAGGATATAGGAGGGAAGGAGAAGAGTAGGAGGGAAAGGAGGAGGAGGAGGAGGAGGGAAAAAGGTGAGGAGGAGGAGGAGGAAAAAGGAGGAGGAGGAAGAGGAGGGAGGAGTGGCAGGGCGGCGCTGCGCGCGCTCCTCGGACGCCGGCCGCGGCTCGCGCCGCTCGCCGCCGGGTTCCGGGAGCGGCGGTTCGGCCTGCCCCTGCGCGCGCTCCTGGTCGCCGAGTTCGGCCTGCCGCTCCCGGCGGCGCAGCGCGCACACCTCTGAGGGAGGAGGAAGGGGGGGAGGGGAGGAGGGAGGAGGGAGGAGGGAGGGGAGGGAGGGATAGGAGGGGGCGGGGGAGGGGGGGAGCCAGAGGGGGAGGGGGAGGGGGCGAACAGGAGGAGGCGGGGCGGAGGCGGAGGCGGAGGCGGAGGCGGAGGCCGGAGGCGGAGGCGGAGGACGGGATGAGGGGAGGAGGAGGAAAAGCGGCTGAGCAGGGGAGCGTGGAGAAGGGAATAGCGGTATCGGTAGGAAGAAGAGGAGGAGGAGGAGGAGGAGGAGGAGGAGGAGGAAGAGGAGGGAGGAGAGAGGAGGAAGGAGGAAGAGGAAGAGGAGGAGGATGAGGAGGAGGAGGAGAGACAAATCTGTATACTGTCATAATACTACCAGAAGGATCGCCACGCAGAGCCCAACAGAGCCCAAGAGGCTCCCAAGAGAGCCTCAATCAGGGCTCAAGAGCGTCAGCGCCGTCGCCACGGCCGCCGCCGCCGCCGCCGTCGTCGTCGACGTCGTCGCCGTCGCCGTCGCCGTCGCCGTCGTCGCCGTCGCCATCGCCGTCGTCGTCGTCGCAGTGCCCCTTCAGGGGCGGCGGTACCGGCCGCAAGGCCTTCCCCGTAGGGGGCGAATGGTTCTGTCCTCTGTCCACGGAGAGCCTCGGCCACGGGCTGCTCGTGGCCGAGCACTCGCACGTTCCCCCGCCTGGGGCTGCGGACCGGCCCGAGAGGCAGAGCCCCTCCTGAGCCCAAAATGACGACCTACCCACCCGAAGACCCGAGTTTCGGTCCGGGCTTCATGCGTCTTCCCAAGATGTTCCCCGACCCCCCCACACTGGGAATTGAGGGCAAATCGGGACCTTCGGGTTGGGTTGGGGTGGTTTGGTGGGTGGTGACAAAAGGCTCCTTCGTTCAGCGCCCCACTGTAGGCATGAACTCTCGACTGCCCGCGCGGATGTGTCGGATCTGCGCTGAACAAAAACCTCCCTGGCACGCGGATGCGCGCCAAGAGGCGCCGCCAGGGGGGTCCAGCGCAGTTCCAAGAAGTCCGCGCGGACCTTCCACAGTTATGTTTATGCCGCTTCTTCTTCTCCGAGCGAACAAAGAAACGTGTCTATTCCAACGCAATTTCTGGCAGAGCGCGAGGAAAGCTGAGGGGATTGAAGCGCGACGGAACTCGCAGTGCCAAGGGCCAAAACCTGCTGCGGCCCTGGACTCGGGGCACGGGCAGAGGAGGGGAAACAAGGAGGAAGAGGAGGAGGAGGAGGAGGAGCAGGAGGAGGAGGAGGAGGAGGAGGGGGAGGAAGAGGAGGAGGGGGAGGGGGAGGGAGAGGAGGAGGAGGAGGAGGGAGGAGGAGGGAGGCGGAGGAGGAGGAGGAGGAGGAGGGGAAGAAGAAGAGGAGAAGGCCGACGAGAAGGAGAAGGAAGAGGAGGAAGAGGAGGAGGAGGAGGACGAGGAGGAGGAGGAGGACGAGGAGGAGGGAGGAGGAGGGAGCAGGAGGAGGAGAAAGAGGAGAAGGAGTAGGACAAGGAGGAGCAGGACGAGGAGGGAAAGTGGGCTGCGTGGTTGCCAAGAACGGCAGTCCCACAAATCGTTCCCGAGGAAGGGAGACATACAGATGCTGCTGCGCTGGCCTCGTTCTCGCAGCATCTTGGGGCCTCCTGGGAGGCCCTCGTCGCCACGGCTGGCTTCGACTCGAGACATGCTGTGTATATGATCCCGGGTCGAGGGCTCCGCCCCCCCCCCCAGATGGGATGGGCCACAGGGTTCCACCGCCCCCCCCGCAGCCAGATGGCATGGGGGTGGAATCCGACGCCGACGCCGACGCAAACGCAGACGCCGCCGCCGCCGCTGCCGCCGCCGCCGACGACGACGACGACGATGCCCATGATCGGCGTATATGCCTCCCTACCCAAGCCAGGGGAACGTGACCACGGATTCTGGGCCCAGGATGAGCCGGCCCAGGTTCGGTGTAGCTTTAGATCGGGCATGTCCTCCTACGGGGAAGACAAATCATGCAAAATACTCAAATATCGTCACAAGAACACGAACAATCGTCACACGCTGTACTATTCTTGAATATTCCTCCTGTAGAGGGACATGCCCGACTCAAAGGTGGGCGCACATGCTCAGAAGAAGGAGCGGCACCGATACCGCTACTCTTCCATCGATGTTGCCACTGCGGGCCTCATGGAAGGCCCCCGCTGCCACGGCTGGCTCCTCCTCGAAATTCTGGTCAGAACGTGCCCTCGGAGAGGTCAGGCCAGCAGCGGCATCGAGCCTATTGGTTCCCCAGACCTCCTCCTGCAGCCGCGAGTTGAGGCGCTGGTAGGACACCAGGCGGTCCTGTGTGGGGAGGCTTCGGGCTTCGCACGGAGGGCCCCCCCGGGGTGCTCCCGGCTGGCCTCAACCGGCCTTCCGAGTAGCCCGGGGCGGTCTCAACACTGAAGGGGCCCCAGGACACACAAATAAATACACACAAATGAAAAGACTCCCTAGATTTTCCCATATTTGTGGGGATTTTGTCTTCCCCCCCACTTCCCATATTTTCCCATATGTTCTGGGGATCGCCGATTACTTGTGTCTGTGCTTTTCCCCTCCTGATCAACAGGCCCTCCGAGTGGCCCGGGGCCCCTGGGGCGCCCCAGGGGAGCTCCGCGCCCGGGGGTTGGGGTGCCGAGACCGCCCCGGCGGGCTGCAGTGGAGGCCAGTCCACAAGAGCCCTGCCAGGAGAAACCCGACCCTGAGACCCCAGGACGTCCCTTCATCTCTGGTGTGGGAACGGCACGCTTTCCATCGCAAAAGCATCTACACCCAAGAAGCCCAGGGCACACCAGAGTCGAGCAAAGTGTTTCTTGGCATAGGTCTCGACTGTATTCGAGGGACCTGCTGAGGTCAGCCAGGACCATATCCAGGGCGGCTGTCGCTGCGCAACCCGAAGCCGCACCGCGCTGGCAAAGCGCCAGGCGGTCCTGCAGAAGCGACCGCTCGAATTCGGCGAGCTCCATCTTGCAGGCGTGCTCCTTGGCGCTGGCCTCGACCACGGCCTTGATCTTCTCCTCGACGATGGCGTGGACGCACTGCCTCGCCTCGCTGCTCAGGTGCTGCAGGGGCTCGTAGAACTGCACCTCCTCCTGGGGGAGGCCCTCCCTGTTGAGCCCATCGCGTGCCGCCTGGAAGGAGGCGCGGGTCGAGTCGCGCTTCGCGGTGATCTCGAGCATGTACGTCGTGTTCATCACCATCATGCGCTTCTCGAACTCCTCCTTCTCCTCGCGGAGCGCCCTCATTTGAGCAGGGACCGACCGTCCCGGCATTCCTATAGGCCTACCACGACGTATTCTCAGAACCCAAAAATGTTCTAAGAACAATAACACGGTTCTCATAGCATAAACCCAATGTGCTAAAACAAGACAGAAGGTTATTCGAACATTATCTGGTAGGCCTATAGGCGAGCTTGGACGCTTCGCCACTGCTTGACCTCAGCTCCAGGGCCTCGCTCCTGACCATGCTGAACGCCTGCTGCGAGACCACCCGCTGCCTCGCCTCGATCTCGCCCTCGATCAGGTCCGTGAGCATCACCCGGTCCGACCAGCTCAAGACGTGGTCCAGGGGGAGCAGGGCCTGGATGCGGCCGACGATGCCGACGCAGGCCTCCCGGCGGCCCTCGTCGGCGACGAAGGCCATGAGGCGGGAAGACCACTCGCCCGCGCTTCTCTCCTGAGGGGCAGCGCTGCAGGAAGGGACCAGCTCTGGGGGGGGGGGAGGGGAAGCCTCGAGCTGGAATCGGCGATGCATCGCCGAGAGATCGGCGCCAAGCGGCAGGCCCCCGACAGCAAAACGGCCCTTCAGGAGCGACTGGGGGTCGACTCCTTCCCCCCCGAGCCCTCCCCCCCCCGTGATCCTCGTCGTCTGGCTTTCGGGGCAGAGCTTGGGTCGCCGGCGGCAGTTCAGGACGTTCCTGGCGCCCCAAAACGCCTCTCGGTGAGGCGCAGCTGCCGGAAACCATTCCAGGACTCGGGAACCTCCAGAAACCTCCCCCCTGAGCCAATGTCCCCCTGCTGCCACGGGCTCGACCCAAATGGGGGATTCGGCTTGCTCATCGCTTTGTTCTGCCTGCTCTGCTGCACATCCCTGCCAGAACGAAACACCAAGCGAAGCCCGAAATACGACCCAACAGCGCATCAGTCGAGCCCATCCGGTTGATGGACAAAATCCTGCACCACCCGCGCAACCAGGGCGACGGCGCAGACTTCTGCGCGACCCCCTGCCCCCCGATTCAACGAGGAGTGGCTGCGCCCGCGGGGTGCAGGACTCGGGCCAGTCGGCAGGTCGACAAACCGCGCCACAGCCTGCCAAGATTGTAAGATTGGGGGCGCGGGGGGGCGAAAACAAGCATAGAAAACAACAAGAAGTGCAGATGTTGCCCATCAGCCGTCCCCCCCTGCCGCTGCCCCAGATCTCCGACCAGTCCAGCGCCTGCTGCACCTCCTCCAGCGCCGGCGCCTGGAGAAAAGACCCAATGGTATACCGACACCGCTGCTCCCTGGACCTCTCCCAGGGAGCGCGCTGACCAGACTCTCGAGGCGAATTCCGCCGTAGCGACTGCAGCGCCTCCCACGAGGCCTATGTTGCTCCCGTCGCACTTAGGACCACAGCCCAGAGATAATTTCGAGCACCCAGAAAAGTATCGAAACGGTGTCAAACGACTATCGCCTCCCAGGGCCTGACACCCTTGTAAGCCCTCCAGTGCCGGTACTGTCCTGGTGCCCGAAGGCCTTCCTGGTGATCAAGGCTAAAGCAGGTTGGAGCATCATAACACAAGGCCCACACATGCAAGAACGAGGGAATGGTAGCGCTAGGTCGGGCCTGTCCCCCTACAGAGGCACTTTGTGAGAAAAAATAAACATACTACAAAAACACTCCCAAAACGCTCAAAATAGCCCAAGAATCGTCCCCAGACTATGTTTTGCCTATGTTTGAATGCTCCTCCTGTAGAGGGACAGGCCCGACCTAATAGCAGCGGCAAAAATACTCCCCAGATACTCCAAATAGCCAAAGAGAATCGTCCCCAGACCATGTTTTGCCTATGTTCGAATGCTCCTTCTGTAGAGGGACAGGCCCGACCGAATAGCAGCGGCAAAAATACTCCCAAAATGCTCCAAAATAGCCCAAGAGAATCGTCCCCAGACTATGTTTTGCCTATGTTTGAGTGCTCCTCCTGTCGAGGGACAGGCCCGACCGAATAGCAGCGGCAAAAATACTCCCCAAAATGCTCCAAAATAGCCAAAGAGAATCGCCCCCAATCTATGTTTTGCCTATGTTTGAATGCTCCTCCTGTAGAGGGACAGGCCCGACCTAATAGCAGCGGCAAAAATACTCCCCAAAATGCTCCAAATGGCCAAAGAGAATCGCCCCCAGACTATGTTTTGCCTATGTTTGAATGCTCCTCCTGTAGAGGGACAGGCCCGACCTAATAGCAGCGGCAAAAAATACTCCCAAAATGCTCCAAAATAGCCCAAGAGAATCGTCCCCAGACTATGTTTTGCCTATGTTTGAGTGCTCCTCCTGTCGAGGGACAGGCCCGACCGAATAGCAGCGGCTAAAATACTCCCAAAATGCTCCAAAATAGCCAAAGAATCGTCCCCAGACTATGTTTTGCCTATGTTCGAGTGCTCCTCCTGCAGAGGGACAGGCCCGACCGAATAGCAGCGGCAAAAACACGCCCAAAATACTCAAAATCGCCAAAGAGAAGCAAAGGGGGGGTTTGAGAATCAGCTCACGTAGCTGATTTTCCCGGCGCCTCCCGTCGCAGGCGGCGGCCATGTGTCGAGGAATGGGCCCCTGGGCGGGGCCGAAACTAGCTGCATGCAGCAAATTTCGTAACCCCCCCTTCCCCAATCCCCCCCTTTCGTTCGGCCCGAGAATCGTCCCCAGACTATGTTTTGCCTATGTCTGAGTGCTCCTCCTGTCGAGGGACAGGCCCGACCGAATAGCAGCGGCAAAAATACTCCCAAAATGCTCCAAAATAGCCAAAGAATCGTCCCCAGACTATGTTTTGCCTATGTTCGAGTGCTCCTCCTGCAGAGGGACAGGCCCGACCGAATAGCAGCGGCAAAAACACGCCCAAAATACTCAAAATAGCCAAAGAGATCATGGGTCGGGCGAAAGGGGGGGATAGCAAAGGGGGGGTTTGAGAATCAGCTCACGTAGCTGATTTTCCCGGCGCCTCCCGTCGCCGGCGGCGGCCATGTGTCGAGGAATGGGCCCCTCGGCGGGGCCGAAACTAGCTGCATGCAGCAAATTTCGTAACCCCCCCTTTCCCAATCCCCCCCTTTCGTTCGGCCCGACCAGACTATGTTTTGCCTATGTCTGAGTGCTCCTCCTGTCGAGGGACAGGCCCGACCGAATAGTGGCGGCATCGGTACCCCCCTCCTCCTCCGGGCCCGCTCCTGGGCTCAAGTCGGGCCTGTCCCCCTACAGGGGGATTCTCGACGAAAAATGGAAAATACCCCCAAAAATAGTCAAAACACAATCCAAAAAGAAGTCTGGGGACTACTTTTTTCGAAAATCCCCCTGTAGGGGCGCCAGGGGCGATTTTTCTGGCATTGTTCGCCATGAGGCCGTAGCCAGAAAACCTGCAACGACGTCGGCGATAGTCGGGGTCGGCGTCGTCGTCGTCGCGGTCGTCGCTGTCGTTGCCGTCGTTGTCGTTGCCGTCGTTATCGTCGACGCCGTCGTCGCGGATTTTCCCGACTTAAGCCCAGGGGCGGGCACAGCATGGGCCCGGGATCGGTGCGGGAGGCGCCCTCCAGGAGGCGGACCCGGGCCTCCAAGAGCCTGACCTGCCCGGGCCCTCGGCCCCCCGGAGGTCCCCAGCCCCTGCCCCGGCGGCGGCTCGCCGTCCTGGATCCGCTCGTGCTGGCCCCGGAGCCCGACGGATAGCCCCAGGAGCCCACATCGGGGAGAGACGGCGGCATGGAAAAACAACAAAAAAAAAATAAAAAAATAATGATAAGAATAAACATGATAATACTAATAATTGTTTTCATACAGATATATAGTATTATTATTAAGAAGAATAATAATAATAATAATAGTAGTAATAATAATTATTATTATAATAATAATTATAATAATAATAATAACAATACTAACAATAATAATAATAATAATAATAATAATAATAATAAAAGGAAGGAGAAACCAACAAAAAAACAATAACAAAAAACAAAAACGTCGTCCGAGATCCGGGTGTACTCGAGGGCGTCAGCGAGGGGGGCGGCCTAAGGCGGGGGGACGGCACCATGGCCAGAGGTATGCGCGCGGACGAGGGGGGGATCAGGGACGTATTGCTCGGGAGCGGCCAAGAGGGGGGTGTCCAAGAGGGGGGGGTGCACATTATGACTGGCGGCATGTGCGCGGCCCAGCGGGGGGGCCAGGGACGTAATGAAATAAGAAAAGGCGCTATGAAATCTGGGAAAATATCATGACCCCCGCCATGATATCCACCCCCCCTAGTCATCACCCTCCTCTTTTCCGCCCCCGAGTATTGCAAGAAGTCGGGACTTCACGCAAGTCGGGACTCCCTTGCACCGCCTTCTCGGCCCAGCGCCAGTGGGAGAGGCGGCGGAGGGGGGGAGCGCCACGCACGCAAACTGGCCCAAGCCCAAAGAAAGGCTGCCTCTTGGAAGCCGCTGCAGGGTCTGACCTGGCTGGGGCCCCAGGAAAGAAGCCGGGAGAGGGGATGAGTCCAGATCCGCCCACAATCGGTCCCAGGGCTCCTCCCAAGGCTCCTCTGGTGCAGGCTTTCGCCCCAGATCCGTTGCTGACAGTCCTGGTGCCCGACAACGGCCCCCGGAGCCCAGCAGAGGGCAACAAACAACTTATAGAACCTCGGACCTGCCCGCCCTTCCTGCTGGCCCGAACCAGTGCTGGGCCACCTCGGACCCCCAGACCCAGACCCCCGACGCCATGATTTCTTCATTACGTCGACCCCTGGAGGTCTCGACCCATTTCCATCCTGAGTCGTCGTTTTGCCGCCTCGAGGGCCGGTAATCGGCGGTGGACGAACCTCCCTGTAGTAAACCACCCTTTAGTGAAAACGGCCTGGGACCGAAACCGACGGACCTGGACCCGCAAAAATGACGGCGCGACGCCGTCTCGCGAACCGCAAACGGCCAATTCACTATAATCGACGTGTCAGGGTAGGAGGCCTGTCCACCCCCGAGGTAAAGGCCCCCCCAGAGGCCGAAAATGGCAAGAGACCTCCCGTCGTGATTTTTCCACTGCCCGAGGGGGTCTGGGGATGGCTCCAGACAGCCTCCCTGCAGACCACCCCAGCCCAACCCGAAGACCCGAATTTGACCCGAATTTCGGGTTGGGGGGGCACGGGTTCCATGTGTTTTTCCAACGTTCCCCGACCCCCCCCCCACTGGATATCGAGGATACATCTGGACCTTCGGGTCGGGTTGGGGTGGTCTGGTGGGTGGTGGCAGGCAGCCTCCCTGCAGACCTCGGGGATCTTCTGACCCGGGTCAATCCAGACCCGGGTCAGCAGGAAACCAAAAACTGCAATGCAGGAAAAAAAAAAAAACTGCAACGCAGATCTTCGCAAACCCGGGTCAGTCAATATGTGCGGCCGCCTCGGGGCCACGAGCGGCTCCCTCACCCGGGTCCGCCAGAGGGGGTCTTCGCAGGATCCTGCAGGATCTGGCGCCCTGGCGGACCCCCGTCTCGGGGATGGACAGAACCCCCTTTAGCAAAACGTGGTTTAGTGACAACGACCTGGGGCCCAAACCTGGCGGGCGCAGGCCTGGAAAATAACGGCCACGGCGCCCTCTCGAGAGCCGAAAACGGACAATTCACTAATCGACGTGTCACTGTTGGGGGTTCTGTCTAACCCCGACCGTCTGCACTGACCCCCGTCTCAGGGCTCCCTGCAGACCGATCCGGGAGCCCAGGACCGGCCTGGCCAGGGCCGGGGCGCGGAGCTGGCGAGCCCTCCGCGCCTCGCCCCACGAGGCCCTCGGCGGCGCCGGCGCGCACCTCTCGGCGAGAGGGGGGGCGGGCGCGGCAGCTCCAAGGCGGCCCCCCTGGGCTCCTGTGTAGAGGCCTCCTAGATGGGGTCGGAGTAGATAGGGTCGGAGGATCACGCCGCATCGCCGATACATCGGCGATGTATCGGCGATGTATCGGCGATGCACCGGCGATGCATCATCGACGTCGGCGATGCATGGGCGACGTCGACGTGAAGCAAACCGGGCTCCACATCGAGCCGCATCGGCGATGCATCGGCGGTACGACACGTTCCTCGGACCCCATCTACTCCGACCCCATCTAGGAGGCCTAGACTGTGGCTCCCATCGTGCTCACGGGTCACGCCCCGGAGACAGCCCCCAGACCCCCTCGAGCACTGAGAAAACCATGGACGGGAGGTTTTCCGCCAGTTTCGGCCTCTGGGGGACCTCGCTGGGCCTCGGGACCGTCAAAAAAGGATTCAGTATGAAAAGCTGGTCCTGGGAAGGGGTCGAGACCTCTGGGGGTCGACGTCAATAAAAATCATGACGTCGGGGAAATGGGATTCGGGCACCCAGAAGAATGCCGAAACAGTGTCTGGCCGGTACGGCACGCTGGCGGAGGGTCGAACGGCTCTTGCCGCCCGGGGCCCGAGACATGGGAAGACCCTGCAGTTTTTCAGTACTTTCTTGGTGCTCGAAATTTGTTCTGGCGCTCAAGGCTAAAGTAGGTTCGAACATCATGACCCTGGACCCCTCACGCCGCCCAAACTGGAGGCCTCCCAGATGGGGTCCGAGGAGGTGGGGTCGGAGGGTCGCACCGCATCGCCGATGCATCGCCGATGCGTAGGCGCCGACGGCGATGCACCGGCGCCGTCGGTGTGGAGAAAAGCAGGCCCCACATCGCGCCGCATCTGGCCGATGCATAGCCGGTGCGCCGCGGTCCTCTCGCCCCACCTGCCTTGACTCCATCGAGCCAGTTGTCCGAGCTGCGTCCAGCCGCGGCCTCCGACGCAGAGTGGAGAAAACCAGGCCGGCGAAGCTTCTGCGACTGGCCCCACAGGCCATCGGCCCGCCCTGGGGCGAACAAGAAAGGACGCAAAATGAAAAGCTGGTCCCTGGGATTGGGTCGAGACTTCCACGGACCCCGTGTTGGAAAAAATCGAGGCGTCGGATCTCTGGTGCAGGGCCCCCCCGAAGGCCAACTACCGTTGTCTCAACTCGCCCTCCCCTGAGATCCGGCGTTGCGAAAAAATGCAACATCCTGGCGGCGCGCACAAGGGAACATGGGGGAGAGGGGAGAGCTTCTTGGAAGGAGGCTGCTTCTTAAGAGGAGCCAGCCCTGCACCTAGAGACAAGGCCTGCGCCTTATAAGAAGCAGGGGTGCTTCTACTCTGGAGGCCAGTCCACAAGAAACCTGCCACAAGAAACCCAACCCTGAGACCCCAGGACGTCCATCGATTTGTGGTATGGGAACGGCACGTTTTCCATGGCAGAACCATCGACATCCAAGAAACCCAGGGCACCCTGGAGGCAAGCAGGGTGTTTCTTGGCATGGGCCCCCACTGTGAGAACCATTCCCTAGAAGAAGAACAAACACATGAACATAAACTTGTGGCGCTCCGCGCAGATTTCTTGGACCTGCGCTGGACAACCTCCCCGGTGCGCGGAGGGCGCCAGGGGCGGCGCCGGAGGCGCCGCCAGGGGGGTCCAGCGCCAATCCAAGAAATCCGCGCGAAGCGCCAACTGTTTATGCTTATGGCGTTTTCTCGTCTTCGAGTCCCCTTCTCCCCTTGCCCCCTCTTCGCGTGGCCGAGCCCCGCGAAAAAAACTCCCGACCGGAGCGCCAGGCCCCAACGCCGCAAAGCGCTCCCCGAGCACAGACCCCAATACAGCACAGTGCCTCCTGGGGCCTCCGGGGGGGCGAAAGGGGCGGCGAAGAGCGCCCCCCGAACGCAGAGCCCAATACAGAACAATGCCTCCTGGGGCCTCCTGACGCCTCCGAGGGCCTCCTGGGGCCTCTGGGGCCTCCTGGAGTAGGAGGAGGAGGAGGAGGAGGAGGAGGCGGAGGCGGAGGAGGGGGGCCTCCTGACGCCTCCTGGGGCCTCCTGGGGCCTCCTGGGGCGTGAGGAACCCATGTGTTTGTTGCTGCCTGCGGCACCTGTGCCGAGCCGGACCGAGCCAGGCGGAGACGCCAGGCGCGCAAAAAGCGTGGCGCCTGGATCTCAGGGTTCCTTGGCTCGACGCGCCCTCCAGGAGGGCGAATCGAGGAGGAGGAGGAGGAGGAGGAGGAGGAGGACGAGGAGGAGGAGGAGGAGGAGGAGCGCCCGGATCTGAGGGTTCCTTGGCTCGACGCGCCCTCCAGGAGGGCGAGTCGAGACAACGAACCCGGATCCTACAAATCCGCGCGGACCTCCGATAGCGTGTGTTTATGCCGTGCTTTGTCGGGCGTTGGTAGAACTGGGTTTAGTGGAACCTGGTTTAGTGATCTGTACCGGGGGCGCCCCCCCGTCCCATTTCCACTCACCGGAACTGCCGTCACCCGACAAAACACCAGCTATGGCAAACCTGGTTTAGTGACTCTGGCCAATTCGAAGGCTCCAGGGCCCTACCACTAACCGGGTCCCCTCACCCCGGGATCCCGGCCATACCCGACTCAAAGGAGGGTGTGGGCAATACTTATATCCATATCCAGAGCGTCGTGGACTTGTTGGGAAGGGGTGCCGCAAGGCCGAGCCACACTGGATATGGATAAAAAACGAAAACCTTCTGGGGATAAATTCATCCATATCCAGTGCGCCTCCGGTTTCTGGGGAAGAGAGCCCAAAGCTCCAAGACGCACTGGATGTGGATATAACTAACTATACGACCACCCTTCGGATGAGAAGGAGGTTCGGGGGGGGGAGGAACCAACGTCTCACTCGATCGGTCTCACTATCGATCTCACTATCGATCTCAGTATCGGTCTCGCTCGATCGATCTCCCTCGATCGATCTCACCATCGATCTCACTCGATCTATCTCACAATTGATCTGACTATCGATCTCACAGTCGATCTCACAATCGATCTTACAATCGATATCACATTCGGTCTCACTATCGATCTCACTATCGATATCACAACCACTATCACAATCAACGTCATCATCATCATCATCATCAACAACAACAACAACATCAACATCAACATCAACATCATCATCACCAACTTCATCATAATCGGGGCACGTCCTCATCATCAACACCAACATCATCATCATCACGGACATCAGCATCATCGGGACACCACCATCATCATCATCATCATCATCATCATCATCAGAATCACAATCATCATCATCATCATCATCATCAGCATCATCATCATCATCAACATCATCATCAGCAGCGTCGGGACACAGTCATTGTCATCATCATCATCATCATCAGCAGCAGCATCAACATCGGGACACCATCATGATCACCATCGTTATCATCATCATCATCATCATCATCATCAGCAGCATCGGGACACCATCATGACCATCTCATCCTCATCATCGACATCATCATCAGCATCATCAACATCATCCTCAGCATCATCATCATCGTCATCATCGGGGCACCATCATCATCATCATTACGACCATCAGCATCATCATCATCATCATCATCATCATCAGCAGCAGCACCATCTGGACGCCATCATCATCAACATCATCATCATCATCACCATCAGAGTAATCATCATCGGGACGCCATAATCATCATCAACCTCATCATCATCATCATCATCATCATCAACATCATCATCATCATCATCAGGACACAATCATAATCAGCATCATCAACATCAACATCATCATACTTGTTATCATTGGGACACCATCATCGTCACTATGATCATCAACATAATCATCATGATCATCATCATCCTCATCATCGGGACACCATCAGCATCATCATCAACATCATCGTCATCATCATCATCATCATCGACATCATCATCATCATCATCATCATCATCATCGGGACACCGTCATCATCATATCATCATCATCATCATCATCATCATCATCATCATCATCATCATCATCATCGTCCTCATCATCATCATCAGCATCATCATCATTATCATCATCATCGTCATCATCATCATCAGCAGCAGCATCATCATCAGCATCATCATCAGCATCACCATCGCCATCACCACCATCATCATCATCATCATCATCATCATCATCATCATCATCATCATCATCATCATCATCGCGGGACACCGGCGGGACACCGGCGGGACACCGCGGGGCACCGCGGGACACCGCGGGACACCGCGGGACACCGGCGGGACACCGCGGGACACCGCGCGCCACCGGCCGCCCGGAAGAGACACATTTGGTCCGGCCGCGCCTCCGCCACAGGGACACCGACGGGACACCAGCGGGACACCGGCGGGATACCGCGCGCCACCGGCCGCCCGGAAGAGACACATTTGGTCCGGCCGCGCCTCAGCCACAGGAGACTTTCCTCTCGCCCGCCCACGCAGCTTCGCCTCGCCCGCGCGCACGGCACGAACGAACACGAAATCGAAATCGATGTCCCGGTAGGGGGGCTCTCCGCTCCATTTCGATCTCACCCCCTCACCTCCGATTGCCCGCAGAGGGATCGAAAGCCGCGTGAACATAGCTAAGTTGTCGGATGCCCGCGCGGACTTCTCGGACCTGCGCCGGGGCCCCTGGCGGCGGCCCCGGCGCCGCCACTGGCTTGCTCGGGGGGGTGTCTGGCGCCGATCCGAGAACCCGCGCGGAGCTCCGAAGGTCTGGACGCCCGAAAAGCAAGACAGCAAGCCCGATGCGTTAAAGCAAGACAGTCTCAGCCAGAAATGTTCTAAGGACATGTCGTGCAGACCCCAAAAAGGTTCTTAGAACATTCTTCGGTAGGCCTATAGGCGAGCCAGGACGCCTCGCCACTGCTTAACGATTGTTTTTCGAGCACCGTAGCCCGGTGGGGATGGGGATCCGTTTTTGGACGCCCGAACTGGGTACGGAAAAA